GACGAGGGGCCCGAACGACTCACACCACGAAGAGCCCGAACGACTCACACCACAAGGACGAGGCGCCCGAACGACTCACACCAGGATGAGGCGTCCGAACGACTCACACCACGAGGAGCCCGAACGACTCACACACCAGGAGGAGGGGCCCGAACGAGTCACACCAAGATGAGGGGCCCGAACAACTCACACCACGAGAAGCCCGAACGACTCACACCAAAACGAAGAGCCCGAACGACTCACACCACGAAGAGCCCGAACGACTCACACCAGGAAGAAGGGCCCGAATGACCCACACCAGGACGAGAAACCCCAAACGACTCAAATCACGAGGAGCGCTTTCTCTCCCTCCTCGTCCGAACCCTCCACAAGGAAAATGTACAAGGAGGCAGGAGGAAGGAGAAACAAGGGAAAGATATGCGGGGCCAAGCGGACACACGCCTGAAAAACACGACTGTCAGCATGCTTCGCTAGAGTTGCTGCTGTGAGATGGGCCGGTGGGGATACGCGAAGCGTAAAGAATTCCAAAGATACGCGAGAACATGGAAACATTTGGCAATACCTATACAACGAAAACTTGAAGTGTTGGCGCTGATTACAAGCAGAGTAATGTATTCTTTGAATGCAGCCTGGCTGAACAAACGAAACAGAAAGAGATTGGATGGATTCCAAACGCGCCTTCGCCAAATCATGAAATTTCCTAATTCGTACGTGTCTAGAATCTAGAATATCAAATAAAACAATTTTGCTCAGAGCCGGGACATCTAAGTATAGTTCGCAATTGTTGAAGTATCAATTAATATGGTTTGGGAAGATAGGAAGATCAAGCGATGACGATTTGTTGAGACAATTGACTTTTCAACCAAACAGCATGCGACCTTCCACCGACTCGTGCGTTCGGGCCCCCGGACGTCCAAGGCACGAGTGGGCAAAAAAATTATACAAACAAATCCGATATTTGTTCCAGAATCAGACTTATTGGATTGCCTCGCAAACGAATCTGTTAGGATCGCATTTGTTACGAAACTTGCTCTTGGCCGCCACTCTCACGACAACGATGAAGAATGGCTGTAATAACTATTGATTGCCACTGTACCTTGGCAGGCTGCAAAACAATGACTTCATGCTCATCTTCCTTCTCCTCTCCTCCGTCCTCCCGGCGCGCATTTGGCGCGTCCTGGCCGCCTTGTGCACGCATTTGGTGTGCAACTGTCACTGCTGGCGCGCATTTGGCGTGTCGTTGCTCCCGCCCCCTTTTCTTGCCCACACGCATTCTGCGTTCAGCTGCTTCGTTCGTTCGTTCACGCATATCATTCAATTTATTCTGCGTCCACAAGGCACCTAAAACCACACAGTGATTGCCCAGCCGGCGTATACTAGATAGTCGTAATGTGGAATTCGAGCTAAGCCTGAGAACCGCTGCGCTAAATGCAGGAACGAAACCGCCCTGCTCGCCCAAAATACTGGTGGAGGAATCTTTGTGAAATCGCCCAGGCCCATGCCCCGAGTCACGTAGGCCCATGCCCCCAAACCGCAACAATTGCTTGTGCAACCCACATTATCGCACGTAACACCGCGCTCATCGAAACGCCAAACGTCGGGAGTAAAAATGTTAAATAATCATTGTGATGTTTCCAAAACCCGCCGACCCTGTCAACGTGTGGAAGAAACTGTTCCGTGTGACTCGTCGTCGCCATGGTCATTATTGTCGCCGTCGTCGCCGTCGCCGTCGCGGGCTCCCTCCCTTTTCTAAGCCTGACGCCGCTGCTTCCACTTTCACCGGACTTTCCTCCTCGAGCGCGCCAGCCGCAGCGAAATTGAGCGCTGTGGTTGAGTCGAAGGGAAGGCCCCTTCCCTTCGACTCAACTACAAGGGGCGGGCGCGGGAGGTGTCCTCGGGTGTCCCGGGGAGGGGCCCGGGTCAGATACGACTCCCCTCCGGGCGGTTCGGGAGCCCTGACAATCCCCTAGACGTAGCAAAAATGCCCCCGAGGGACGCGGATCGCTGAAGTATCGGTCCAAGTCGCGATGGCCTCCGGACAGCTTCAGAAATTCCCACTCCAAGGGCGCGCCCAAGAAGGCCCCAAGGAATAAAAATCTCATCGATCCCCCTTAAGCTTTTGAAGGATTTCGGCATTCTCGCCTCGTCAGCTTCGCGACGCTCCAAAAAGGGCCCAGAAGTCTCCAAGACCGCCCCAATATCGCCCAAAAGGCCTCCAAGAAAACCCCAAAACGACACAAGAGGGCCCTGAGACCGACCAGGAGGCCTCCAAGACAGCCGAAGAGGCCTCCAAGACGGCTCCAAGGAGGAGCCGAAGCTCCCAGGAGGCCCCCAGAGGTCCCTAAAAAAGCTCGCAACAAGAAAAAAACCCAAACACCCAAGAGACCCCCAGTGACCCAAGAGGCCCCCACGAGGCTTCCAAGCGACCCCCCAAAGCTTCCCAAAAGGCCGCCGAACTACCCCGACGAGGCCCCTGAAAACGCTCGTCGTTCGTCACCATTCAGGGTCGGCGGCGCTGGCCGCAAGGCCTTCGCGATGCTGTGGTCGTAGGGCGCCGTAGAGATGCGCGCCAAGTGCGGTGGTAACGTCTGGAGTAGGTAGTTCGACTCTGAGCACGACGCAAAAGTAAAGCATGAACCGCGCTGCCTGTACAGAGAGGAGCTCGGGAATACATTGTAACAAATTCACCTTCTCACAGACCAGACGCGCCCCAGATGCTCCGCCGACATAAGCTTCCGTTCCGAACGGTGCGCCAAGGATCTTAACCCCCCGTTCGAAAGCTGCTGCGTCGCATTTTCATGCGTCGGGTGGGATGTCGGTTAGTTATCTGGACGTGATGCTATTGTCGGCCCCTATATCGCAAGTTTACCGACATTGACGCCGATGCGACGAGATGTAGATAATTCGTGGCGCGCCGTCGCTAATACATACGCACGCATTTTCATCAGGATCACATACGACGTAAATATCGTCCAAATACGCAAGGACCAATGCCCCTCCACCGCCCATCCCCGCCACCGTTCCAACTATTGTCCCGAGGGGGGGGGGGGGGCAGTTCGAACCGGTAATAATCCCCACCTCTGTGCGTGATGCATGGGCCGGACCGGGCGGGGGGGGGTTTTCGAACCGGCAGTGACACCCTTCCTTTTCATGATCGACTGGGGGGATGGGTTCGAACCGGCAGTGGCTCCCCCCGGTTGTCGAGGGGAATGGCCCCCCCTTTTCCATGATGGATTGGACCGGGGGCAGAAGGAGCTTCGAACCGGTAGCCCCCCCTCGTTTTCACAATGGACCGGGGGAAAAAGAGGGGGGTTCGAACTGGTAGTGACCCCCCCCCGGTTTTCGAAAGAAAGGGGGGGGGCTGGTTGAAAACTCCCAATGACACCCCTGGCTTTCTGCCCCAGTCACCATCAGTGAGCAAAACACGCTCTTTCTAACCTTTCGACCCTGGGGCCGACAACATCTCCGACTGCAACGTGCGTTCATCCAACTCTGGCTGCCACGCGTCTCTCTGAAATGGGGGCGTACCACGCGTTCAATTCCAATATCCCCTCCAATCTTGGGTAATAGTACGGAGGTGACTCGATCATTTCTTTTAAGCCACCACATATATATATACATATATATATATATATGTGTGTGTGTATTCTAGATGTATTCTAGAATCATGGTGGGTGTGTTTTGGGTGCAGGCGTCGTGTTCAAGCTTTTCCACTGTCAGAGTCTCGCAAAAGCTCTCAGGGGCTCCCAAGGGCTCTCGGAAGCCTTCGAAAGCTTTCAAAAGTTTCAGGGGCCTTCAGAGGTTTTCAATGGCTCGCACAAGCCCTCATGGCCCTTCAGAAGCTCTCAGAAGCTCACAGAGGCATTCAGGGTGTCTCAGAAGGTTTTGAGGAGCTGTCACCCCGAGGGTCTCAGAGTCTCACAGAAGCTGCCAGGCTCTCAGAGGCTCTCAGAAGCCCTCAAACGCCCTCAGAAGGTTTCATATGCTCTCAGAAAATTTCAGAAGCCCCAAAGGCGTTCAGAAGATCCCAGAGACTCTCAGGAGCAAGCGTCGTTTCCAGACTTGTTCTCAAGGGGCGGAAATCGACTGCGGAGGCGAGGGCGGGCGGCCAGTGCGATCGACAAGCGAGGCAGAGCGAGGCCTCTAGTGAAGGCTCGCGGCTGGCCGCTTCCGAGGCGGGGCCCTCGCCCGTTTAGGCGGGGTCGCCGCCGTCGGCTTCCGCTTCGAAGTGAAGACAGTGCGCTTGCGAGGCCTCTTGGCCTGCGCCTTGCCCTGCAGCGCGCGCCCCTTGATTGCCTGGCGCTTTTTCTCTTTCGCTGCTTCGACTGGGAATGCAAGCGGGCGCCGAATGAATTCCGCCCATTCTTCGTCCGCGATCGCCATCGTCGCCACTGCGTGGAACAGCAGGTCAACGTGGCGCATCCGTCTGAGAGTACGCGAATGTAGAGCAGTATTGTGCGTCAGAAGACAGGCGAGGAAATTCGCCTGGAGCTGCAATCGGATGGTCTGTGCAAACACTTCAGGTTGATTTCTGAACCAACGGTTGACGCAGCTGCGAAATGCCTCGTTGGGCGACGTGCCCGAGCCCAGGAGTCGCAGCTTCGCCGCGGCAAACGAACGGCGAAACCGCCGGTTGTTCATGTAATATTATTCGAAGCGATCGGGGGCAGCAGCGCGCCACACCGCGTGCTAAAGGGTCTGGCCAGCCACGTGCGTGCAGTGCTGAACTTCGCCCGAACAAAGAACGCGCCAGCACGGCCAAGGCCTGAATGAACCCTCATCCTCCTCCTCGGTCCGCGTCGTCGACAAACATCTCACATCGTCCACCTCCGAATCGTCCAGGACTTCAGCTTCGCGGCGAAATCTGGGGCGAGGGAAATGGATGGCGAACCCGTGTCCTGCCTCGCGGCCATTCGGAGAGGGGGCTACGCGCGTGCGGGACTCGCCAGAGCGCAGCAGATTGACCCATCGCTGGCGTCGCTCAAGTTCCCACGTCGGAGCGCGCGCAAGCCCCCCGCGGGCACAAACCTCGGTTGCAAGGCGGTTGAAGTACCCGGGGGGCAAGGGCCTCCTCTCCCGCCAGGTCGGGCAGATCTCCACCCAGTCCTCGTCGCACGCGGCGCTCGCATCGAGCGCGCGCGTCCCGCGGTCGGGGCGGGGCTGCGCTGCAATCTCCGCGACCCCCGCGCCGCGCACGGCGCCCGCGAAGTTCGGGCCTGATTCCGCTTCGGCACTGCTCTGCCCCGCGGCAATGCAGCGGCAAGGCGCATCTCTCACGCATTCCTTGCCCGCGCTGCCATGGCGGTTCCTCTGCCGGCGCTGAAGGGGGGTGCAGAGCTGCTTGCCGTTCTCGCGAATGATGGCGTCGAGCTCGCCCAGATCCACGGGGTTGGCTGGGTTGCAGCTGGCGGCGGCGCGCCGCGGCTTCCTCTTCTTCTTCTTCTTCTTCTTCTCATTCTTCTTCTTCTTCTTCTCCGTGGTCTGCGAGGGGGCGCGCGGCGACGACGGCCGAATGCTTTCCCCTGGCTCGCCGAACAGAAGGCGCCCCCACGCCTTCGCCGCGGCGGGCGCAGCTCTCAAGTGCCCCCTGGACAGCTTCACCTCGCGCCCTGGCTCATGCTGGATGCAGCCCTGGCCCCGGTAAAAGCGCGGCGTTCGTGGCCCGCAGGTCCACGCGCAAGTCGTTCCAGGCTGTCTTCCCCGCTGGCATAAAGCTCGTCGTGGGTGGCCCAGCAGCGGCGCCGCGCGGCGTTGCGTCGAAGGGCTCGGCGGCGGGGGCGGCCCCCACGTCGCGCGGCACGCTGGCTGCAATGGGATCGGTGGAACAATTCTCCCCGTAGAAGTCGCGCAGGTCCTCCAGGCTCTCGGCCTCGAAGGTGAAAGAACCAGAATCATCGCCCGAATGAGCCGAGCCTGCGCGCGAAGCCCGCGGAGAAGACATCGACCTAGACCTATGGGGCGCACGCTGTGAATCTGAGACGTGGGTGGGCGTGTCCCGCACGGGGGGCACGCGTGCTCGACCGATGGGTTAGTGCTGACTGTGAATACTGCAGTTACGAGCCGCAGCGCTCGCTGGTTTGAGCCTAACAACTACGAGATCACATGTATTCGTGATCCCATGTCTGGGCCCCGTCCTGGCTGCATTGCTGGGCGCTCTCCTGTGTGCTCTCCTGAGCTCTCTCCAGGGTCTCCTGCAGCTCCCTCCAGGGGTGCTCGGCGCGCCCATTGCTGGTGGCCTTTCTGCCCCTTTTATCCCGAAGACGCCCTAGGATGGCCCCGGAACGGTCTATGCGGCTCCCAATGGGGCGGCCCCGAGATGTTTCCAAGACGGCCCACGTGTCGCCTAGGGTGGTTCCAAAGCGGCCCCCAGGACGTCGCAAATGCCTTCCAACGCGACTCAAACGCGGCATGCAAAGCGCCACTTGCGAAGCAAAGGCGTTGTTCTTCAAGCGGGGTTGCGTTCGTTCCCCCTTGAATGTGCTTGTTATGAATGAAACACTACAAATGCAAGAAAAGTATCGAACACCTCATTTTTCATATTCTTCCAAACGCAACAGAAAACTACATGCACCGCATCATTTGCGAGATAAGGCCGTGCATTCTTCAAGCGGGGTTGCGCTCCTTTCCCTTGAATTTGCTTATTTTGTATGAAACTACAAACCCAACAAAAAACATTGATCATCTTATTTTCAATATGCTTCAAAACGCCGCAAACACTGCATGAAACGCGTCGCTTGCGAGATAAGGGCGTGCATTCTTCAAGCTGGGTTGCGTTCCTTTTCTTTGAAGTCGCTTGCTTTGAATGAAACTACAAACGCAGCAAAAACATCGAACGCCAAATTTTCACATTTGCGTAAACACACCCAGAACTATATGAAACGCATAACTTGCGAGATAAGGGCGTGCATTCTTGAAGCGGGGTTGCGTTTCTTCTCGTGGTCCCCTGGCGGCTCCTTTCGTCGCTCTTTCCTTTGAGAGCATCCGAAAATCAGATGCCCTTTGTTCAGCGAGCCTGACGACCCGCGCTCGCTTGGCTCTCTGCGCTGCTCACGCCCCCCAGCACTCCAGTTCTTGTCTGGCCTCCCAGTAGCTCTGCTGCGCGGTGCGCAGGCGGCGCTGGAGGTCGGCGTTGCGTTTCTTTTCTTTCTTCAGCTCCTCGTCTCTCCTCAGGTTCGTGCCAATATTGAACGACGTTGCCTTCAGATTCGCCGCCGTCTTGGCCAGTTTTTTTGCCGTCTGCTCCTTCTCCTTCTTCTCATCGGAGGGAACGCAAACAGGCGACACATGGAGCACTCGCCAAAGGAAAAAACTGTTTTGGGGCTTTCTTGTTGCAGGGGGTACTATGTCGCCAGATTGCGTTCCCGATCCTCCAAATAAGCCTTCTTCAACTTTTTCGCCTCCGCCCGCGCCTCCTTGGCATCCTCGCGGTGGGCCTCTGCAGCGCCCTTGGCGGCACTGGCGCTGCGGAAATGCACGTTGGGCCGCCGCCTGCGGAAGATGCAGCTATATTAAATGGTGGAACTGACACGACCCACAAGGTCTTGAGGTTGTCTGCGTCGGTCTGGTGCTTTTTGGCTACCTGCTCAAGCCGGCGCTTGAGCTTCAATGCAGCCGCACGGGCGCCCTCCGCCATCAAGCGCCGCGTTCGGGGCTGGATCATAAACTGGTGAAGGCGTTTTTTCTGCCTTGTAGCCAGCGTTTTGTTTCAGTTTTGCCCGACAGGCTTTCGTGCCCTTTTTGGGATGTCCCATTTGGGCTGAGACCTCGTTTGACTTGAGCCAGAACCTCGTCGCGGCGCGACAATTACGCGAAAGACCGAATGATTGTGACAACAGGGTGAGGATAAGTAGTGCTCTGCTCCCTTTCCTGTATTTCCCTCGTTCTTGACTCCTCGCCCTTTCCCTATACTCGCCCTCCAGTTCTTCCTCCTCCACCGTGTCCCCCGCTGACTACTCGTGCCCCCCGCTTTCCTGATGTCCCCAGGAAAAAATCATAATCGAATTTCGAATTTGATATTTTTTTTTTTTGCATTTCAAATTCTTGAAGCCTTGGGAAATTATTTATTTGATTTTTGAGGCCACCATGAATAAGACTTTCAAAGAAATCACAAAACATCACAATAATCAAAACAATCAAAATCGGTATTCAATTTTTCCCCTTCATCCAAAGTGGGGTTCTTGTTTTCTCTGGACACCCCGCGCAAGAACAGGAACCCACCATCATCATCACTCATTCCTCACTCACTCACTCACTCATCATCCCTCACGCACTCACTCACTCACTCACTCACCCACTCACTCACTGACTCATCATCACTCACATATTATTATGATGGTGATGATGATGATGATAAGTGTGCGCGTGACAGAGTGTGATGATGATGATCATCATCATCATCACCAGTCAGTCCCTCTCTCACTCACTCGCTCGCCTTGGGCCTCGTCTGTGAATGAATTGCGAAGAAGTCTCAAGCGGGAGCACCGTCCCTATGGGGCCCGCGGATCATGTTACTAATCCGAGCGGGTCATCCAATTCCTGTAACTGTCGCCACTTTTGGGTTTTCGCGCTGCCAGAACGCCATTCCCAGGTCATATCTGTGAGTGAATTGCGAGGAAGTCTCAAGCGGGAGCCCCCTCCCTATGGGGCCCGCGGTTCATGTTACTAATCCGAGCGGGTCGTCCAATTCCTTAAGCTGTCGCCACTTTTGGGCTCTCGCGCTGCCAGAACGCCATTCCCAGGCCACATTTGTGAATGAATTGCGAAGAAAACTCAAGCGGGAACCCCCTCCCTATGGGGCCCGCGGATCATGTTACTAATCCGAGCGGGTCATCCAATTCCTGTAGCTGTCGCCACCTTTGGGCTCTCGCGCTGCCAGAACGCCACTCCCAGGCCACATTTTGAATGCCCGGAGCCAACTGTAGGTCACTTCGTGTTCTTCGTGCTCCCAGAACACCACTCCCCGGCCACATTTTGAATGCCCGGAGCCAACTGTAGGCCACTTCGTGTTCCTCGTGTTCCCAGAACACCACTCCCGGGCTACTTTCTGAATATCCGGAGCCAAAACAGGAGGACGAGGTCGGGGGCAACGTAGGGAACGGGGGGAGGGCCCGCGCCAGGGCGAGAAGAAATATACGCAGAAGAGATAGCCAGGACGCCTCACCAACCACGAGGACGACGGTGAGGTTTTTTTTCCAGATTCGTCCAGAGGATTCTCATGTGGGGTCCTTCCGACGGAATAATGATTTGCTTATCTATATATATATATATATATGTATAAGTATGTATGTATGCATATGTATGTATGTATGTGTAGATATATGTATAGATATAAAGTTTTAAATTTCCGAAGCCTCTCAATTGGGAAATTGTTATTGGATTTCTGAGGCCCCCCAGGAATAATACTTTCAAAAAAAAAAGAAGCAAGACAAAAACAACTTCATCAATCAAATCTGAATATGAGTTCTATTCTCATTTATTGCTGTTTTTGAATTTTCCTCATTTTTGAACAAAATCAAATTCCCGAAGCCTCCCACTTGGGAGATTATCATTGGATTTCTGAAGCCACCAGGAATTATAATAAAAAAGAACAAAATAATCAA